CTGAACGTAAGGGGCACCATCACGTTCGTGCCTCTCGACCTCCCCCTGGCGATCCGGAGTCCTCCGTTGAGCGCCTGCACGGTTTGCCCTCCTCCTCCTACGTGATTGTGGTCATCGTCCACTTCGATTATGCGGATGTGGTCTTCGGGGGCCAGGGCTCGAATTATTTCGCTATTTTGGCGCTGCACGCGGACCGGATGCACCTCTTGGTCTTCGTTGATGGTTTTGGCGTTCTTCGTGGGCCTGATCCTCAGCGGCTGTCCACTTCGCCGGCTGAGTCGCAGCGTAGCTGGTTCCTGCGCGCTTGGTGCCTAATTTAGATCGTAGCGCTGCTGCTTCGCTGTTGACGGCGCGCGGTTGTACCGTGTCGCCCGCGGATCAAAAAAGTACCCCCGTTGCCCATCCAGAAGCGATGTCCAGGCAAGTCGAGGCGATCAGGGAAACGCGGGAGCAAAAACGGGGACGGCCGAACCGTGTGAAGGAGGGAGGAGGATAATGAGGATGCTGGATGAACGGATGAGGGAGTGGGGAGAAAGAAAGTGACTACGATGATGATGCCGGTATTGATTGTGATGATGATGACGATGGTGATGATGATGGAGAGGAGGAGGAGGAGGAGAAGGAGGAGGAGGAAAAGAAGGGGTCGGAGTAGGCAGGAGGAGCAGGATGGGGAGGGCGAGCAAAATGGCCAGAGGCCTTTTGGATGTGTGTGTGTGTGTGTGCGTTTCCCCCGAAGCCTCTTGGGATATTTTTTGGGCGCCTTTTGGAGGCCTCTTGGAACGTCTCGGGGGGCCCTTGGCGGTTTTGGGGGGCTCTTGGGCGTTTTGGGTGCCTCGGGGGAGCCTCGTGGGGCCGTTTTGGGTCCTCTTGGGGGCCTCCTGGGGGCCTGTTGGGGCAATTTTTTGGCAACGTTGGTGCATCCTGGGCGCATATTGGCATACGTTGGAGGACATCGATCAAAAAAAGGGGGTCCTGAAACAGCGTTGCCTCTTAGGGCCTCTAAAATCGCCCCTTCGGGCGATTAGAGCGTTCTTGGGCGCTGTTGGGGCCGTCTTGGGGTTTTCTTGGGCCCCTTGCGGGGCCTCATTGTGCCATCTTGGAACCATGGAGGCCTCGGGTGGCCATCGGAAACGAAAAGGCGAGAAGGCAACCATCACTGGTGTTCTCTAAGTTTTGGGAGGACTTTAGCCTCTTGGAGGCCTCCTTGGATATCGCGGAGGATTCGGGCGGCCGCTTCGGAACATTATTCGGCTTTGTTGGAGCATTTTGGAAGCCATCTTGAGGCATCTCGGGTTACCTTGAGCCATCTTGGAGGACATCAGGGGCCCTTAGAAGCCCTGTTGGGGCCGTTTTGGACCATCTTGGGCGTTGTGACCGCTCGCGACCGCTCCCGTCCAGATCCAGGGGAGGGGCGTAGATGTTTTTCGCCCGGGTTGGTTTTCGCCCGGTGCGTTTCGCCCGGTTTGTTTCGCCCGGGTTTGCTTTCGCCCGGTTGGCTTTCGCCCGGGTTGGCTTTCGCCCAAGTTGGCTTTCGCCCGGGTTGGTTTTCGCCCAGGTTGGCTTTCGCCCGGTTGGCTTTCGCCCGGGGTGGCTTTCGCCCAGGTTGGCTTTCGCCCAATTGGGTTTCGCCCGGTTGGCTTTCGCCCGGGTTGGCTTTCGCCCGGTTGGCTGTCGCCCGGGTTGGCTTTCGCCCGGTTGGCTTTCGCCCAGGTTGGCTTTCGCCTGGGCTCGTTTTCGCCTGGGTTCAGCTTCGCCCTCCTCTTCCTCTTCTCCTCTTCCCTCTCCTGTTCTTTCATGCTGCTGCTGCTGCTCCTCTTACCGAACCCGACCCGACCCGACCCGCCCCGCCCGTTAGGGTCCGCCCGACCCGACCCGACCCGCCCGTTAGGGTTCACGCGTGCTCACTCGAGCGCGCCCCACACCTCAGCGTCCCGCCCGCCCGACCCGACCCAGCCGACACTTTAGTGTCCCGCCCGCTTCACCCGACCCGCCCGTTAGGGACCGCCCGACCCGACCCGACCCGCTTCGCCCGCCAGGGTCCGCCTGCCCCACCCGGCCCGCCCGTCAGGGTTCACGCGTGCTCACTCGAGCGCGCCCCACACCTCAGTGCCCCGCCCTCCCGACCCGATCCGCCCGTTAGGGTCCGCCCGACCCGAACCCGCCCCGCCCGTCAGGGTCCGCCCGGCCCGACCCAACCCGCCCGTTAGGGTTCACGCGTGCTCACTCGAGCGCGCCCCACACTTTAGTGTCCCGCCCGCCCGACCCGACCCGCCCGCCAGGGTCCGCCCGACCCGACCCGACCCGCCCGTCAGGGTATGTCAGGGTTCGCGCGTGCTCACTACAACTCAGTGCCCCGGCCGCCCAACCCAACCCGCCTGTTAGGGTCCGCCCGACCCGACCCGCCCGTTAGGGTTCACGCGTGCTCACTCGAGCGCGCCCCACACTTTAGTGTCCCGCCCGCCCGACCCGACCCGCCCGTTAGGGTCTGCCCGACCCGACCCGACCCGCTTCGCCCGCCAGGGTCCGCCCGACCCGACCCGACCCGCCCGTCAGGGTATGTCAGGGTTCACGCGTGCTCACTACACCTCAGTGCCCCGGCCGCCCGACCCAACCCGCCCGTTAGGGTCCGCCCGACCCGAACCCGCCCCGCCCGTCAGGGTCCGCCCGGCCCGACCCGACCCGCCCGTTAGGGTTCACGCGTGCTCACTCGAGCGCGCCCCACACTTTAGTGTCCCGCCCGCCCGACCCGACCCGCCCGTTAGGGTCTGCCCGACCCGACCCGACCCGCTTCGCCCGCCAGGGTCCGCCTGCCCCACCCGACCCGCCCGTCAGGGTTCACGCGTGCTCACTCGAGCGCGCCTCCACACTTTAGTGTCCCGCCTGCCCGACCCGACCCGCCCGTTAGGGTCCGCCCGACCCGAACCCGTCCCGCCCGTTAGGGTCCGCCCGACCCGACCCGTCCCGCCCGTTAGGGTTCACGCGTGCTCACTCGAGCGCGCCCCACACTTTAGTGTCCCGCCCGCCCGACCCGACCCGCCCGGGTCCGCCCGACCCGGCGCGACCCGCCCCGCCACGCCAGCGACGGCGGCGCCTGCTTTTGCCCCTGAGCCTGCCCCGTCTGCTCCCCGCCCGGCCCCGGCGAAAGCCAACCCCGGCGATAGCCAACCCCGGCGAAAGCCAACCCCGGCGAAAGCCAACCCGGCGAAAGCCAACCCCGGCGAAAGCCAACCCGGCGAAAGCCAACCCCGGCGAAAGTCAACCCCGGCGAAAGTCAACCCGGCGAAAGCCAACCCGGCGAAAGCCAGCCCCGGCGAAAGCCAACCCCCGGCGAAAGCCAACCCGGGCGAAAGCCAACCCCGGCGAAAGCCAACCCCGGCGAAACGAAGCCCGGCGAAACGAAGCCCGGCGAAACGAAGCCCGGCGAAAGCCAACCCCGGCGAAAGCCATCCGTGCCAGGGGAGGGGGGGGGAGGGGCAAACCCCTCCCCGAATGGGAAAAAGTTTGGAAAAAGAAACACTCTAGACCACCTACGCCCAGAGGGCTGGTGGGATTGCTGAAATACCGGCACTGTGGAGGACCATCCAGGGCTGAGATTTGAAGAGCGCGACAACGGGCGCAACGACAAATCGCAACGACAGAACGGGCGCCCCGAGCACCCGCAAATGATTTGCAGGATTAGCAGCGCCGCGCTTTGTGTTCGCAATGCATGAGCGTTCCCTGTGTGCTATGACAAAACAGCGTCTTGCGCTAAACATAGCATGTCTCCGAGTACATTACGGACAACAGGCAGTTGAAGAGTAGGCGCGTGTCCCCCCATTCCGCGGGACCTCCCAGGAACCCAAGGAAATCGTGACAGCTGCGCACCTCGTAGTCCCCCAGGGAGCCGCGAGGTCTCAACTGAATCTCAGTGACTCCCTGCGCCGCGGGACCTCCCAAGAACCCACGAAAGTGGCGACAGTTGCGCACTTCGCACCCCCCCAGGGAGCCGCGAGGTTTCAACTGGACCCACGTGTCACCCGTTTCCGCGGGACCTCCCAAGAACCCACGAAAGTTGCAACAGAGGCGCATTGAGCAGCACCCAAGGGAGCCGTGAGGTCTCAATTGGACCCCGTCCACCCCCGTCCCGTGGGACCTCCCAGGAACCCGTGACAATTGCGACAGTCGCGCACGTCGCAGTCCCCCCTCCCAACTGGATCCCCGTGTCCCCCCAGTCTGCGGGATTTTCCAGGAGCCCGCGAACGTGGCGAGAGTTGCGCACTTCGCAGCCCCTCATGGAGTCGCGAGGTCTCAACTGGGTCCCCGTGTCCCCCCACCCCGCGGGACCTCCCAGGAGCCCGCGAACGTGGCGCCAATTGCACAACTCGCAGCCCCCAGGAAGCAGCAAAGGTTCCAAGTGGACTCCCGTACCCCCCCACCCCGCGGGACCTCCCAGGAGCCCGCGAAAGTGGCGCCAATTGCACATTTCGCAGCCCCCCAGGCAGCCACGAGGTCTCAACTGGACCCTCGTACCCCCCCCAATTCCGCGGGACCTCCCAGGAACTTGCGACAGTGGCGACAGTCGCGCACTTTTCAGCCCCCCAGGAAGCCGCGAGGGTTCAACTGGATCACAATGCCCCCCCGCTCCGCGGGACCAGGGGCCTTCCAGGAGCCTTCCAGATCCCAGGGGCGAGCTGATCGCACGTCGCGTTTGTCACAGCGCGAAGCGTAAATTCATCTGTCCTAGGCGGAGCGCCCCCTCCCTTCAGACATCCGCTCCTGCACAAGCCAGGGCCTCTGCTCCCACATGCCTGGCAACAGCCAGGGCCGAGAATGACATGGCCCGCATGTTCACAATCGCCTTGCCAGGCGCCAGCCTCCTTCCTCCTTCTTCCAGAGCTGTGTTGGCTCGCGCTCTCCTTGATCCGCTCACCCTACTGTGAGACGTTTCCGGTCGTCGGCCGGGACTTACTGCATTTCAGACTACATCCATTCAACCCCATACTAGTTCGCGATTTGGACTCATGTCCACAGTATTTTGCACATCAGCTATCCTTCGGCCGGGAGCGAGGAAGGAGGCCCTGGCGCACACCGTCGACATCCTCGACATCTTGCCGTTGAAGGTTCGCCTGGCCGAGGACGGCAGCCGCATCACGGGCACCGACACGGGCAGCGCTTCGGACACCGACCACTCCTACACCGACGAGGACCTTGCCGTGGAGCCGCGGCTCGTGGAGCCCATCGGCCTCCCCCCAGGGCTCGCCCCACCCCCAGGGCTCGGCCTCGAGGTGGCCGACGGCTTCGTGAGCCTCGGAAGCGCGGTGTCCGCTGCCGAGCGCACGCCCCTCCGCAGCAGGGCCACCCTGTACTCGCCCCTCAGCAGCGGTGCCGAGGCGTTCGTCCCCAAGAGCCTCTCGCTGGCCCAGGGCCGGCGCCCCCGGCTCGGCGGCGCTGGCCCGAAAGCCCCCGGGTGGACCACGGCGATCGGGGGCAACGAAAGCGGGGGATTCCTCCTCCTCCTCCTCCTCCTCCTCGTCCTCCTCGTCCTCCTCGTCCTCCTCCTCCTCCTTGGCGGCCCAGCGGGGGGGGGGGCGTCACCTCCAGTCGCCCAGTCATCGCCAATCAGGGCCCGGCCCCCCGCGCTCCGGAGCGCGCGGTCTCGCTCTCGGGCGTCCGTCGCTGAGGCATCGGCGGTGCGTCGCCGATTCCGGCTTCTTGTCGGATCCGCTCCCTTCTGTCAGGGTAGTCGAAGGCCAGACTGTCAGATTGGATTGGGCCCCAAGGGCCAATCTGGCCTGGCCAAACTGGAGGATTGGGGTTATTCGCCAGACTGGATTCGCGTTGGCTCCCTCGCCAGATTGCCCCCGTTTGCCAGATTGGGCCTGCCAGATTGGCGCCAGATTGGCTTCGATTACCCAGTCAGGTGATGATGCGCAACATCCCCTTCTCCTACACGTGCGACTCGGTGATCGCCTTGTTGGAGTCCAGGGGCTTCTCGGGGTGGTTCGATTTCGTCTACGTCCCCATCAAGCGCACCGAGGCGCTCGGTGTTGGGTACGCATTCATTAATGTGACCTCGCCACAGAGAGCGGAGGAGTTTATGCTTGCATGGGAGGGCTTTGATGAGTGGACATCGTCGGGTTCTGGAACAGCGTGCTCCATGTGTTGGAGCGTTTGCCAGGGCCTCCGTGAGAACATCAGCCGATATCGAAACAGTCCGTTTATGAGAGATAACGTGCCGGCGATCTACAAGCCAGTCCTCATGAAAGACGGCGTGCGAATCCCGTTCCCCAAACCTACGAGACCGTTACAGCAGGACCGTTCCCAGAGGTACCGCAATGTCCAGAAGCAGGAGGACAACGAGTGAGCTCCTGCACCACAACCGAGCGCATCGAGCAAAAGCGAGACCGGGCACGAGTTCGACGGTCTCTCCGTCGAGCGATTTCGCCCCGCGCCTCGCCTCCCGCCGATCTCCTCCGCCCCCGCCTCGCCGTCGTCCCCGTGCTCCACCTCCCCACCCTGCTGCTCCTCCGCCGGGCCCCGCTTCGGGCCAGCATCCAGCCTCCAGCCCCCAACGCGGGAGCCCCCTGGGCGTCCGGCGCGTGGCCTCCTCCAGCTCCTGGAGGGGGCCAGGCGGCCTGCCGCCGGCTCCACGTGGTGGGCGGGCAGGCCAGAGTCGCCAGCTTTGCGAGCGCGATCGCCGCGCTCTGCCCCGCACGAGGTGTCGCGAGCAGGCGCTGCGAGTCAGACATATCGCAGCCCCGGGAGCGGCGTGCTGCCAGGCTCCCTCTAGGAGCTGGGCCGAGCTGGAGGACGATCAGGCATGGCATGCTGCCTGGCGTCCCTGGCAGATCAGACCGAGGTTTCACCCGGTTCTCTGTAGCAGCGCGACGGAGTGCCGCGGAGTTCCGCGTCGGACCGTTCTGTCAGACCATTCTGCCTGTCCGATTGCCATGCCCTTCTGAGTACCGTTTCGTCAGATCGTCCATTCGACGGAGAAATCGGCCAGAGCATTTGCCCTGTCCACTTCTGTCAGTGCGTCCGAGAGAGGGAGACAGGAGGAGGAAAAGGGCGGACATGAGAAGGTGGCGCGAGGCGTCACGACATCTTCTCAACCGAGGTGGGCGGTGGTGGACAGATGACGAGAGGATCAGCTCCTCTTGTTCCTTCTACTCTTCTTCCTGCGGTGGAGAAAAGCGAGGTCCTCGTGCCCTTGAGCATCCACCTCGTGCTGCCCCTCGCTTTGCCTACCCCACCCTCTCTACGGAGGCGTCGAAATATGGAGCGCTTTCGGTCCGGAAAGGGCTTGGTTTACCTTCTGGCAGTTCGGGAGTCAGCCGGGATTACCTTTGGTGTTGTGTTTGTGTTGCTGGTAAGCATGCGCGCATTATCCCGCCATGGCAAGCGCTAGGCACCAGCATCCTTCCTCTTCATCATTCCCGTGTTGTATCACCCACCCTACCGCGATAGACATTTCTGGTTGAGCAACAGGGATCATACTTACCGAAGTCCAATATACATCCGTTATGTATATATCTATATGTATATACATCTATGTCTGACTATATATAGATATATGATGCATATGAATTAAGTTTGCCACGTCGAGGGTGTCCTCTACATTTGCTAACCTTCGGTCAGGAGCGAAGAAGGTGCTCCGCGTTGGCATCATCGAGACCCTCGAAATTATTGATAAGCCGAAACACGCGTGGGCGATAGTGGGAACTACTTCTCGGCTCCTCAGAGGGCGACGTGACATCTCCCCCCCGGAGTGGGCGGTGCAGCCGAGGCGCCCGAGCAAGCAGAAGTCTGGTGTGGTTGCCGGTCGGGGACGTGTGGCCGAGACTCGCCCTGGCCAGAAGAGCCTTCTCGTGTTCGACTTGGAGTTCGTTCATGGTAGCACGATGATTGTACAGTCGGCCCAGATTTGTAGGTCGACCCTGCCAAGTCAAGGGTACCCTGGTGTCCTGCGTGTTGCGACCCATGCCTTCGGCATTCCTACGGCAATGTGGCCTTCGGAAGGGTCTTGTGTCCTTTCGCTTATCCTCTTCTTTCAAGCTCGACTGTTGTCACCTCATCCTCCCTCAATCGCGTTGTGTTTCTGCTTGTGCTCCTCCTACAGTGGCGCTGAGGTGAGGAACACTTCGGATCCGGGATAGGTTCCGAGGGGGGAGTTCGTGCTTGCACGCAGCTGTGTGCTAAGCCATGTTATTCCGGATTCGCAAGCATATTGTATCGCATTGTTTGCATCAAGCATAGTGCACCGCGTAGTCTGCAACTAATTCACCACAAAGTTCGCAACTCTCAGACGATACCATATAGTTTGCAGCACACCACACCACTTGCATCCGACAGTCAGATAGCAATAGTCGCACGGGGCCTCATATGTTGCACTCCGTATTGCACCGCATAGATTGCAACCCATCTACTTGTCATTACAATGTACACGGCATTCGTAGAAGCGTCTAGTTGCCCAATCGTTTCGTTCATTCCGCGGGCCCATTCCGCATGACGGTGGCTGCATGGTGGTGTGCTCGTACCCATGGACAACGGTGGGGCAAGCAGGATTGTCCTCGAGGCGATCCTTGGAGATGTCGCTCGCACCCTGCCGAAGAGAGCCGACATACTTCCCCAGAGGGCGCTAAGATGGCTCAAGCGATCAATCAGAGTTTCGAGACGTACCTGGGTTGTGGGTCAGATGCTTCGTGGGGTCTCTTCGGAAGGCTCTCGGGAGCCTCTGGGTAGCAGTTTGAAGCTTTTGGGGAGCTTCTTTGGGGCTTCTTGGGGGCTTCTTGGGGGCCTGTTGGGGCTTCCTGTGCGAGCTTCTTTGGAGGCCTCTCGGGACCTCTTTGGGGTCTCTTGGGAGCCTCTGGGAGCTCCGCGGGCGCCTCTTGGGGCCGAGAGCTCGAAATGTTCGTTCGGGTTCCCCCTCTGGGCCCCCTCTTGGGGCCATCCTGAGGCCGTCTTGGAGGCCTCTTGGGCCGTCCTAGGGCTATCTTGGGCCATTACTTACGGGGGCCCTCTTGGAGTCTTAATGTGCCGTTTTGGAGCAACCTCGAAAAGGGCTGTCGGCAGCTCGAAAAGGCGATGCTGCCAGAATTGTTAAAACAAATCCAGAGCATAATCGATGATTGTTGCGTCTTCGGCGCCTCTCGAAGTCCTCTTGGAACCCTCCTGAAGCGTCTTGGGTGCTTCTTGGGCCGTCTTGGAACCACCGTGGGCCATCTTGGAACGCTCGTGGCCTGAGGCCGTGTGGCGCGCCACCCTGTTGGCGCCTCGTTGGGGCGCTCGGGCTCGGGGGGGGCCCGAGGCCGCACCCAGGAGTTCCAGCACCTCTGGCCCGACCTTGCCAGGACCTTGCTGGGGTATTTTTTGTCCGCGGCCCCCCAGGGGCCGCCACACGCCCGCGATCTAGAAACAGCTTAAAGTCTTACCAGGGTAGCACACTTCTGAACATGGTACGCGTATTAAGTGTAGAGTATCGAATTGTTTGCAGCGGTGCTACGTTCGCACGGGCTGCACCTCATAAGTTGCCCGCCATAACCTTGACCATACATTGAACCACGCGCGCAGTTGTCCTCTGGGTGATAGCGGGCGTGATCGCGCCCTCCACCAGATTACGTCACGGCGATCATCCTGTGGTGATCGCGGGCGTCTTGTGCTCATGCAGGCATGTTGTGGTGTTCACAGGCATGTTGTGGCTTTCGCGAGGTGACGCTGCGCTCATGCGCTTGTGGTGCTTTCAGGAACGCAGTCCTGTCCTGTTGCTCAAAGGCATTTGCATTGGTCTGGTGCTCGTAGCTGCCAGCGCTCGTGGCTGCCAGCGCTGTGAGGTATGCAGGCAATTTTGTGCGCACAGGCGTTTTGCTGCACGCAAGCGCCGTGGTGCTCACAGTCGCCGTGGTGCACGCACTCCTCCTTTACTTCCTGCAGGGGGGAAAGGGGAGAGGATGGAGGAGGGAGATCCTCGTGCTCCACCTCCTGGTCGTCCACCTCGTCCTTCCCACTTCCCCGCGCTCCATTTCCCTTTCATCGTTCTCGACCTGCCCTTGCTGCCCCTTCTGCAGAGGCGTCGAGGTAAGGCGCGCGTTGGGCAGCGGTCTGCACGTGCTGGCAGTTCTTCCGGAATCTGGCCGAGATTAGTTCGAGGGCTTGCCGGTGCGAGCAAGTGTGTGCGCATCCTTATGCTCTGGCAGGTGCCAGGTCCTCCTCCTCTTTCCGTACGTAGCCGCATTGGTTGATTCTTGTTTCTCACCCTACCGCGTGAGACGTGTTCGACCATATTTACTAACTTCAGATTATCATCACTCTACACTGTTACTAGTTCGTATTGGAAACATGACGACGGTATCCTGTGCGTCAGCTATCCGTCTGCCCGGAGTGGAGAAGCAGGTGGGCATCGTTGATATCCTCGACATTTTGCCGTTGAAGGTGCGTCTGGCCGAGGACGGCAGCCGCGTCGCTGGCAGCGACGCGAGCAGCGTTTCGGACGCCGACCAGTTGGACATCGACCTGGGCCTCGCCGAGGAGCCGCGGCTCGTGGGGCCCATCGGCCTCCCCCCAGGGCTCGCCCCACCCCCCGGGCTCGGCCTCGAAGTGGCTGACGGGCTCGAATGCCTCAAGAGCGCGGTCGCCCCGGCCAAACGCACGCCCCTCCGCCGCACGGCCACCCTGTACTCGCCCCTCAGCAGCGGTGCCGAGGCGTTCGTCCCCAAGAATCTCGCGTTGGCCGGAGGGCCGCGCCCGCGGCTCGGCGGCGATGACCCGAATGCCCCCCAGTGGACCACGGTGATGATGCGCAACGTCCCCGTCTCCTACACGTGCGACTCGCTAATCGACCTGTTGGAATCCAAGGGCTTCTCGGGTTGGTTCGACTTCGTCTACGTCCCCATCAAGCGCACAGAGGTGCTCGGTGTTGGATACGCATTCATCAATCTGACCTCTCCAGAGCGAGCGCAGGAGTTCATGCTTGCTTTCGAGGGCTTCGATGGGTGGGCATCGTCGAGCTCTGAAGCAGCGTGCTCTATGCGTTGGAGCATTTGCCAGGGCCTCGGTGAAAACGTCAGCCGCTATCGAAACAGCCCGTTCATGAGAGATAACGTGCCGACGTTCTACAAGCCCGTCCTGTTGAAAGACGGCGTGCGAATCCCGTTCCCAAAGCCTACGAAGCCTTTGCGTGCCATGCGGCACCGCAATTTTCAGGAACAGGAGGATGACTATTGAGCGGATAGGTGCATTTGAGATTGCGTTGAGCTCCGACAAAACCTCATCGTGAGGGGCGCGCCTGACGTGGGCGTCAGTTCGACGATCTCTTTCTCGAGTGATCGGGCCTCGTGCCTTGGTGGGAAGAGGCAACCCCGCCTCCTCCTCGTCACCCACCCTGTCCTCGTGCTCCCTCCTCCTCCTCCTCCTCCTCCTCCTCCTCCTGCTCCTCCTCCTCCTCCTCCTCCTCCCCGTTTCCGCCTCCTCCTCCTCCTCCTCCTCCTCCTCCTCCTCCTCCTCTTCCTTCTCCTCCTCCTCATCATCCTCCTCCTCCTCCTCCACCTGCTCCTCCCCCTCCTCCCCCATCTCCTCCCCCTCCTCCTCATCCTCCTCCTCCTCTTCCTCCTCCTCCTCCTCCTCCTCCGTGGGCCTCCGTTTCAGGCTGCGAATTCGGGACCCCGTTTCGGGCCACACCTCCGGCCCAACCCTTGACGCGGGGCTCTGCGCGTTCCCCGCGTAGCCTCCAGCATGGCGCGCTGGGCGGCCGGCCACACAAAATGGTGAACGGCCAGCCAGGGGCTCCGAGTTGCACCTTTTGATCAGCTGCTCCTCATAAGTCTACAGCCGTGGGCGCGGCTCGATGCCAGGATCTGCGTAGAAGCTTAGCTTGGAGGAGGACGGCGAGTTTCAAGAGACGGAAATCGAACCGAGTGTTCTCTGGTTTTTCGGAGCAACGCGACATAAGTTCTGCCGTAAGACTGTTCAGATACCATCCGGTCTGTCCTTCGGTTACACTGGCCCGTAGGAAAAAGGTGATCTGTTTCGTCGGATATGCCAGCCAATACGCGCATTGTGCTCCTGGTCCTGGCTCAGCCCACTCCTGCTCCTGCTACTCTTTCTGCTCCTCCTGCTCTTGCCCTAAGCGGACGAAGAAATATAGATCTTCGTTTACGCCGTGGGAGCGCTTGTCCCAGGGCGGTTGCGAGGTGCCAGCATAGGGGTATGCACTTTGCAGCCGTCCCGTGACAGGCGCCCCTGATGGCGGATTATATAGTATTGTAACGATATTCGTCTGCCAATGCTCCGTCCTCGTCGTATCACTTCCCCTGCTCGTCATCTTCCCTACTGGTCCCCCTCCCTTGGGAGAGGGGAAGTCGGCTGGCACCACTAGGCCTCCACAGGCCCATTTTGGGCCCATACCGGCCCACCAGCCAGGCGGAGAAGCCTTGGTCGATCCGCGGTCGGGAGGGGCATGTGAACAGCCCCCCATTCCACCAGGAGAGGAGAGAGGGGGGAGGAGAGGCAAGCATATTAAAGCTAGGTGCGCTTGCGCCATGTCTGACATCATATTCCTCCCATCCCTTCCCATAGCGCGGTTTTTTTCTATCCGCGGACGCGTGTCATAACGTCTAATGCGCAATTGGAGAAAGGGATCTGTTTACATAAGGAGGAGGAGAAGGAGGAGGAGGAGGAGGAGGAGGAGGAGATGGCGGCTGAGCAGGACAATGAGCAGGAGGAGGAGGAGGAGGAGGAGGAGGAGGAGGAGGAGGAGGAGGGGGAGGACCAGGACGAACACCAATTGCAGGAATTGGAGTGGCAGGAGTGGGACGTGCAGGAGGACCAAAGGAAAGGCCGAGGACGTGAAACGAGGGCGGCAGCAACGAGGGGAGAGGACTCCGATCCAAAAAAGGCGGCCCGCGCCGGTGCGAGAGCGCCATCCTGAACGACGGGAGCACGGCGCCGATCCGAAGACGGGGCCCACGCCGCGGGAGCACCGTTCTGAGACACCGAGAGTCACCGGATCGTGCAACACACACATGTGATGCATAACATGCGTAATTTTGCGTGTGAAGAGACAGTACGCGGAGAGGGCGGAGTATCTCCCGCACAGAGTCAGGGGAGAGAGGAGACAAGCATTCAGCATGTGAAGTTGCAGAGAGGACGCTCTTCCTGGTCCTCCCGTTCTTCTCTCCTCCCCCTTGTTCGTCGTCCTCTCCTGCTTCTGCTCGCGCCCGCCAGCTCCTGCTCTTCCTCCGGTCCCCCCTCGCCCTTGCTCCTCGCTCCTCCCCTCCCGCTCCTGCATGCCGCCGCTCGTCCTCGCAGCCGTCCTGCCTCCCCCTGCTCCCGCCCGCCCTCCCCCGGTCCCCCTCGGCACCCCTGGACGGCTCCCCCAGAGAAGCCGTCCGAAAGCGCCTTGTGTTAAGTCGAGATTGTCTCCTCTACATGGGGGAAATTCAAAGTCACAAAATAGTCTGGGGACGCTCTTTTTTGGATAATTCGTTGAATATCTGGGAGCATTGTTTGACCTGTTTTTAATTATTCGTCCAAAATCCCCCTGTAGGGGGACAGGCCCGACTTAAGCCTTGTGCTTCCTCTTGGAAGATGCCCCTTGGCATCGCTCGGACGCGTGCTTTTTGTTTTCTCGGCGAAGACCATCGAGGAGCATTTCTGATCATCGAGGACAAAAAAAGACACGCACGAAATCGACAGCTGCACGTGGAGTGGGCGTCCGAGCGATGGCAGGGCCCAGGCATCCCCCCCTCCGCCCTCATGCCAGGTCGTGTTCGCTGCGCTCGTGAACGGGAATCCCTGGAGCATCGGCGGGAAGTACAGGAGCGTCCAAAGGGGGAGGGGGAGGGGGAGGGGGAGGGGGAGGAGGAGGAGGAGGAGGAGGAGGAGGAGGAGGAGGAGGAGGAGGAGGAGGAGGAGGAGGAGGAGCAGGAGGAGGAGGAGGAGGAGTTGGAGGAGGAGGAGGAGGAGGAAGGCTACCTGAAGAGACTCCTCATGGGGGATCCCGTCCGCAGGAGCGCACGCCGTGCTGCTCCCTTCTCCTCGCCTCTCTCCCTCGTCACTGTCCCTCCCCATTATTATCTATCATCCTGCGTACCCCCTCGTCTCTCGTCTCGTCCTCCTAGCTCTCCCTCGTCTGACCCCTTTCTTCTCATCGTCCTCGTTCTCGTCCCACCCCTGTCCTCCTCCTCCTCCTCCTCTTCCCTTGCTTCCATCACCCTATCCTCAATCTCCTCCCTCTTCTCATCGGATCCGTCCTGCTGTGATTTCACCGCTTGGTGTGGTCTCGTGCTTGATTACGACCGACCGTTCGACCGACCGTTCCCCCATGAGCTCAAGCCACCTCCACTGAACACGGTCGGCCACCATACTTCCATCAAGGACGTCCCGCAGCCCCCTCCATGAGCCGACCGACCGTCTCCCCTCTGAATCCAGACCTCCATCCCGCTGAACCCCCGCCTCCGGCCACTCTTGGAGCTCGGACACCTCCATGGCCACCCCGACCGACCACTGCCACCACCGATCCTAGCGTCCGTCCTCGTGGCCTCCTCCCCCTTCCTGCTTGACCCCCGGGCCCTCTGCCTTCCTTCTTGTCTCTGTACATGTCTCGCGCGAAACAGCGGCTAGCATGACGCAGAGGCCGCGGCCTCACCCACCTTGCCTCAGCGAGGCTTGGACTCTTGCCCGCAGTGGTTCCAGCAGTGGCGAAGCGTCCTGGCTCGCCTATAGGCCCACCGAAGAGTATTGTAATAATCTTTGATGGTCTGCACGCAATGTTCTGAGACTGTCCTGTTTCAACAAGTCGACATCCTGTTCTAAGAACACTGCCTGTGCTCTTCGAACACCCTTGGGTTCTAAGGACATGTCGTGGCAGGCCTCTGGGAGTGCCGGGACGGTCGGTCCCTGCTCCAGTGGTGGCCGTTCGCTCTCTCTTCGCCTCCTGCCACACCAGGACCTCGGCCACCTCCACGGCCATGCCGACCAGCCTTCCGCAGCACCGACCGCCCCGCGGCCTCTCCCGCGGCCCTGCCGCCCTCCTCTCGGCCTCCGGGCCCCCGGGCCCCCCTCCGCTCCTCTCGGGCCGGGCGAAAGGGGATTGGGAAAGCGGGGTTATTAAATTTGCTGCGTGCAGCTGGTTTCGGCCCCACCGAGGCGCCCATTCCTCGATAAGCAGCCGTCTACGGCGCCGGGAGGCGCCAGGAAAATCAGCCACGCGGGCCGGTTCTTAAACCCCCCCTTTGCTATCCCCCCCGTTCGCCCGGCCCGATCCTCCGCCCACCAAACCTCCCCGACCCAACCCGAAGGCCCCGATTTGCCTCCATTTCCAGTGGGGGGTCGGTGTCGGGGAGCATTGGGAAGACACATCAGCGCAGCTCCATCGATTGTTTTGCAGGAGCCGACTTGGTGATGGCAATCGGGAAACTACGCCCCTCTGATTTCATGATTGCCAACGTTTTGCAGTGCGATGCTCCCTGGCCTTCTTGAAATCGAGACTGGTCAAACGATAGTTCTACGACGCCTGCGAGATGCCTGGCGGTATAACCATGTTCGTTGACGGTTTCACGCCGGCGTTCAGTGTAGCCCCATGTGGTGTATCGGAGGCTTCCTCTTCTTAGTTTCGGGTGGACCCTCTTGGGGCGAATTTGGTCCGCTCAGGACGCTTATTAGACCGCAAAGCTACACTCAATCCACCATAGTTTGATTGACGATTTTGAGTCCCCTGGTCTGGCTCCGAGTACTACCAAGACGGCCCCGAAACAGCTCAACCAAGATGTCTCCAGGAAGGGCCCCTGATGCTGAATGAGGGAATGTACATCTTCCCAGCAGCCCTCCCGTGGGCCTGGGAGCGCCCAGGGGATCCCCAAGAGCGCCCCGAGAGCGCTCAGGGATTCCGGCAATTGGATGTTTGGGGTTGGCACGAGCATTTGCAATATGCACGAATTCTTTGGGGATTGGCACGAGCATTTTCGGGTTGGCACGAGCATTTACAATATGCAATATTGGAGCATTGCAACCCAAGGACCCGAGGACGTTCCATTCGATACGTGCGGAACGGTCGCGGATGCTTCGAACGGGCTCACAGCCGCGAGTTTGAAACGATACGGACGGTCCGGATTAGTAGGTGGACCTTGCCAGGTCAAGGGTACCTTCATGTCCTGCGTCTTGCGACCAATGCCTCCTGCATTTCTGTGGCAACGTGGCCCTCTGAAGGGTCTTGTGTCCTCTCGCGTGTCCTCTCCAATCAAATCCCACTGTAGCACGGAATTGCGATTGTCAGTGCCATTGTGAGTTGTTTTGGTGGCTTCCGTGGTGGCTTCTCTCTTCTCTCAAGCAAGAGGTCCCTCCCTCCTGACGCAACCATCAGGAGATCTGCGACACCAACACTGCGACCGCCGCTGGCGCCTGCTGCGCGCTGCAGAGACGTCGCGGTGACCAGCTTGAGCGATGGGGTAGGGCTCGGACTCGCCTGGGCAGGCGAAACGGCCCGCTTTGGCCGTGCGTCTTCTCCTCGTTGCCGACTCCTGTGTCCAGGCGGTTTTAGTGCGCATGCACATCGTTGCCCTTGCGAATTCAATTGAATCAGCATGCTGTCTTTCGCAGCCTCTTATCGAGGTATGCGACTTGTTCACGAAGTACGTGTGCATGTTTGAAACGGTTTGTTGGTTCATGCCTGCGTAATAAATAGCAAGTGCATGTGCCGCATGGCCGTACATCTGCCGCGGGCTCTGCACAATACCATTTAGGGTTGTAGCGGAACCGGGGCCACGCACACGTCATGCGTGCGACGAAATCGGATCAAGCGGCGTCCGCCCTCGTCTAACCCACAACTTGCAACGTTGTCGCGCGTCGCCCCCCTGTCAATCACAGAAGGTCCCTGGTTCACGGATGGCCGCACACTTGTGCGTTTTTTCTGGAGGTCTCGGCCCAGGGAGGCAGTTTGATGTGAACGAGTCGGTCTTAGGGGGTGGTTCAGAGACGGGGAGGAGGGGGATGGTGGGGGGGGGAGCTTGAAGGAGGAGCAGCATGAGCGATTCGGGGCTTGAGGTTCAGTGCACGTGCGACCAGCCGCGTAACCGCACAGGTAGCAACGTGTCTCTCCCGCCGCAAGTCCAAAGCCCCTGACGGCGGTCGGGAGAGGGACATGCCAACGACAGCGACAAGGAGGTTCAGGACATAGGGGCAGATGCGGAAGAGATGAGGACGAATAATAAGAAAAAGAAGCGCGTTGGGGAGAGGAGCAGGAGGAGGATGAGAAGAGAGGAGGGGAGGGAGGCAAAGTGAGTGGCATACGTAACTGTCTTCCTATCTGGATTCTCTGGCGCCTGAGCGTTCATTTCTTGCAGGTCCGCGTGGCGCACACCCACGGCGATAGTCACGACCCTTTTTCTCTCAACCATTCTGTGGCGCTTGGTCCTTGCCTTGAATACGCATCGCCCCGCGGCTCCCTCCTCCGCCTCCTCCTCCTCCTCCTCTTTTCCTCTCCTCTTCCCTCATCTCCCGTCCTCTCCTCGCCTCTTCCCACCCCTGCCCCCGCCCTCCGCACGTCCATCCGGCACGCCCCTCAGACGCTTCGTCTCTCCATGGGCAGCCTTGTCGAGTGCCCCAGTGGACAGCCCGCATGCGGCTCCAGCCTCACATTTCGACTCACCTCTCTCACGCGCTTCGAAGCCTCACACGGAGCTCCACCGAAGGCTCCAGTGGCAGCGCCCGCATGCAGTTCCACACCCAATCTTGGCGCACCCTTTGCCTTACACGGCTCGCGGCCCCATAGGGAGCGCAGCTCAAGTCCCCAGTGGCATCGCCCGAAGGCAGTTCCACCCCCAGTTTTGGCGCACCCTTTGCCTTACACGGCTCGCGGCCCCATAGGGAGCGCAACCGAAGGCCCAGTTGGGCTCAAACCGAACTTGAGAACATGTGTACTCATGATGGTTGGCAACGCTTCGGTGACGACGATTCAGGATTTAGTTCACTCTCTCGGGCCTGCCTTCCGCGATTTAGTTATTGCTCGGTTCGCGAAGTACCTGGGAGTTCTGATCGCGGGCCCGATGGCGAGGCCCATGCTTGGGATGAAATCATCCCGCGGCTGCTGACTCACGCCCTTGATGTAAAGAGGGCCGGCCTGGGACTGACTGTCGGTGTATGGACCTTGCACGTTCTGTGCCTGTCTCTGCTGCAGTATGTGCTGCAGTTTGACCCCCGTCACCCGCCGTGTATGCTGCATACGATCGTTGTGCACAGCTGCTGACGCAGGGGTCTTGGAATGCGATCCCGAAGGAGTTATTGGAGGGTTTCATGATGTGTGTGTGGGAGGGGCAGAGTCGCGTCGCCTTCATCATGTCCGTGTTGCCGCTCGTGCCCGCTGTGCTGCATCTTGTGCTGAGTTTCGTGCTGAGCCTGGGGGAGCTGGTGCATTTGTAGCTCCAGATGAGTGTATCCTTGTGCGCCGACGCCGTGGATGGTGGAGACACTCGGTTGTATACCACATGTCAGAGGCTGACGGCTCCCGACGTCCTGTTGTGTTGCATTTCCCACCCACGGTTGCTCGTAAGGCGGTGTTACGTAAATTGCATGAGCATCTTAAGCGTTGGCGCCCGAAATCTTGGCGTTCGCTGATAGAGATCCTCAGCCTGCGTCTCATGAACTGGCACCTTATGGTTGGCCCTGGTAAGTTCCCTTACATGCTGTGGAGGCTCCAGGTGATCCTGAAAAAAGTCAGCCCGCACCTTGCTGCCACCATGATTAGGATTGCCTGCCGTAAGCTTTGTACGTCTTCCCGTTTTACGTAGGGCCGCTGCCAGCCGCTGTATTTTCGGTTGCCAAGGCTGCGCTGACACGGAAAACCTTACGACACTACGCCGTCTGTCCGCGGATGAGGGAAGTTATTGATCTTTGGGTATTGCGAGACGTCCTTCGGCCTGGTCATGATTTGTTTTCCCATGTGTTTTTTCGTTCACCTCGCCTCAGTGAAGAGACCGGTATTTGTTTGGCTGGCTGATGCGATGCCCTGTATTTCGACAGCAATGCTATTGAGAGGGTTCCCGCGTCAGCCTCCCGCAGTAGTTTGAAGGAAGAATTCGAGCCCAGTGTCGCCGCCACCCCGCCGTCCAGGCAGCTTGGAACCAGGGTCCTTGACTGCGCTGTTGCAGCGATTATTTGATGTGGTGGATGCCACATGACTGCGCAAGACAAAGTTGGGTAAATTATGTTCCGGCCTGTGCTGGTAGACCCTCAAGTTGTTCGTAGATTGTTTCCCGACAGAGGGATTCGCGTTGAGCGTTCCGCCAGCGGGAATTCCTGGGGCGCGCGCAGCGCAGCAGAGACTGCGATCGCCCCCCTGCTGCAACAGAGGCTGATGTAGCCACGCAGCCAGCCAGACAAAATTGGGTACATTATGTTTCGGCCTGGGCTGGCAGACCCCCCAGTTTTCAATAGGTTGCTTCCCGCCAGATGGATGCGAACTGAGCTTGAAACCAGCGGGGATTCCCGGGGTGCGCGGGCGTCTGGACTGCGGGCGCGCCCAGTGCATCTCATACTAGGCGACCTGGGCGCCTTTGGAGTCGCGGTGCGATCGCCCCCCTGCCGCGACGGAGGCCGATGATCGGGCGGCCTATATGGCAAGAGAGCAATCCAGACAAAGTTTGGTAAATTATGCCCCGACCTGCGCTGGCAAAAAAAGGAGGGCGCAACCGAAGGCCCCAGCGGCAGCGCCAGCATGCGGTTTGACGCCCGCTTTCGGCGCTCACACGTTTCATAGCCCCACAGGGTGCGCCAACGAACACCCTGGCTGCAGCGCCCGCTCGCAGTCCCGCCCCATTCGGGTGCACCTCTAACGCGTTTCGTGGCTCCGTCTGGAGTTCCGAAGAAGGCTCCAGCGGCAGCGCCGCACTCCGCCCCCCCTAATTTCGGCGCGCCCTCCTGGCGCCGCGTGGCCCCATGGCGAGCTCCGCCGAAGGCCCCAGCGGCAGCGCCCGCGCGGCGTGCCCTCGGCCGTCTCGGCACGCCCGCCGAGCGAGTCGCGGCCCCGTAGACGGCTCCACCGAGGGCGATATTCTCAACTGCGTCACTGGCAACTGCACGCGGAAAAGGGTCCTTCGACAGGATACTTGCATAGCGTTCCAAGCTCCGCGGGGATGCGGCAGCCGGTATCCCGTTTGGGGAAAAGCGACCGGGACCCAGGGACTTGGCCCACCTTTGCAGATGCGAGCGAGGCGGGGGAGATGAGAGGCGGAGGAAAGGAGGTGGCCAACGGTTCGCAATCGCCGAGAAATTCACGGCCGCGCAGCTCAGAACACCAGCGGCGATGGTCACAAACAAGCGCACGCATGCAGCGCAGGCAGCCATGCGCCACGCGTGCCATGGAGCATCGGCAAGGATGGGCCCCGCGAGCAGAAAAGAGAGCAAGACGAATGAGCACAGAAAGAAAAGCCCACCAGTAACAACGACCCTGCGCTCCCAGAACAGGCCGCGGATTACGACCGCCACGCGGAATCTGTAGATTCCAATTGAGCCGCGCCAGCGCGGCGCGCAACGCCACTCGGCGACGTCGACGCCGGGGAGGGGGCCCGCGCGTGCGCAGACCCGATGGCCACGCGAGGTGTGCCGCGCGCGTGTCCTGCACGGGCCACCCGCGCCATAGCTCGGGCGAAGGGGACTATGCACATGCACCGATCCTGGCAAGGCCCATCCTTGACCCAGGATCGGTGCATATGCCTTCCTGGCCAAGGTAGGAGGGCGTATGCACCGATCCTGGGCTCAGGACGGGCCTGGCCAGAATATGTGTATGTGCATAGTTCTCTTTCCTGTAACAGTCCCTGAATGGATTGCACCACCCAGCCAATCGATGGAATGTGACCGCAACGATGCCACTGGAAGGGGCGGCCCAAGATCGCGCCACCGATGTACTAGTCGGGGGGGCACGGGTCGCGGGAAGAGTGGCATCTGCACGCTCGGAGCTTGGCTGCGAGATCGCACCGCCACCCTGCGCAGTATTCGGCGAGCAGCAGAGTCTGGTCGAACACCAGAAAAGGGCTTTGCAAGGTGCACACTGGCACAGTATACAACACGCGCCGTGACGTGCCAGTGGAGTCTTTTTTATTGAATGGGCCCGCCGATGGTTGGCTATCACTTGGAAAGTACGCCGAGCACCCTGCGTTGCCGTCTGTTTCGATCTCCATGGGTTGAATAACCCGTCCTGCGCGCACTTCTTCGCGAACGTTGCCCGATGCCCTTGTTGGAAAACCGCGCGCGCTGTTCGCTTGGCCGAACTTCCACACAATGGCCAAAAGTCCGCCCAGACGGCGCCCGGCGCGGGCAGCGCACGGCCAGCGTCACTTGCGCGACGTGGCCAGCTTAAGAGCGAAACGCGAGGATGTCTGGCATGCGCCAAAGCATGCCTGGCTGGCCTGGCGATGTTGGCTTCAGCCCGCAACGTGCGTTCAGACGCACGGATCTTTGCCGACAGGTTCAATCAATCGCGGTGATTGTTGGTTGGCATGTTCTGTCTTTGCCAACGAGCCGGGTGCAACCGAACATCCAGGTGGGGCCGCCGACGCATGTGATCGAGACATTGTTTCTGGTAGTTTTGTGAAGCGCGTAGAGCCAGCAAGTTGTACAACGCATTTTGAGCACCCCTTTAATTCCACGATTGAACGTCCGCGGCTGCAAGGGATCAATCAGAGCATCGCGCGCAGCACGCCGCAGCGCACGCGCTCTCAAACCATGCTCAACTTGCGTGGCCAGACCAGTCACACATTGCGAATGAAGCCCCAAATGGGTGTCTACATTGCCATGTCATCAGCATGGCTATCAATCCCCAACATTGACCGCCCGTAGCCACACCCAACACCAGCCCGAATCGACGGCAGCAAACGAGGAGCATCAAGGAACCACACAGATGCATTGAGAAACATGAGTGCCACGAAGAACCGCTAATGCATGTGTCAAGGGTCTTCCGAACGAGCAAGGAACAATGTACGCGCACGGCTCATGCCCCCCCACGGCGTCGGTCGTTGACGGAGTAAGCGAATGTGGAGAGTTGTGCACATTGCGTTAGTCGGAATTCGCATCTCATTGCATCAGGCGTCTTCCACTGCCACGTGATGCACAACAGCGATAACCGCAACCCCGCACTCGCTTGTGCGTCACAGTTTGAACTCGCTTGTGGCATTTGCGTTTGTAATACCACCATCGCGCTCATGCACCACTGTGTGGTCGGGAGGGGTGTCTTGATTGGATCGGGAGGGGGAGAAGGATCATGGTGGTAAGCAGGAAGTGGAGGAGCATTGGGAGGAGCAGGACGAGGCGGACCGTTAGTGGGCGGAGGAGACGAGAGTGGCGGGAGGATGTGCAGCATGATGAGGAGAGCGATGCACACGAAAAGGGGAAGGGAGAAAACAACGAGGGGTGAGGCGGAATGTTGATGATGATGCTGATGATGGTGATGGTGATGGTGATGGCGATGGCGATGATGATGTTCATGCTCGTGCAAATGACGATGATGATGGTTATGATGATGGTGATGGTGATGATGATGAGGAGGAGGAGGAAACATGATGAGGGAGGAGGAGGAAGAGGAGGAGGAGGGGGAGGAGGGGGAGGAGGAGGAGGAGGAGGAGGAGGAGGAGGAAGCGGAAGCGGAGGAGGAGAGGGGGAAGAGAAGGAGGAGGAGGAGGAGGAGGAGGAGAAGGAGGAGGAGGAGGAGGAGGAGGCTGCCGCTGCCCGCGCGGAGGTCGAGGGGGCCTACATTCAGCCTCTGCCGACGGTGCGCGCGCACGCCCGGCCGGGCCCCACGGGAGACCGTGCGCGCTGCGCTACAGCGGGCGGCTTCGGCAAGAGGAGGGGGGGGGGGAAGGGGACCTGGAAACCTTGATTTGCAAATCGTAGGAGCCTGGCATATTTTTTAATTCCGTCTCTAGCGTCGGATAGCGTCTGGGGGTCGATGAAACAGCGCCGATAGAACGTCAATTAGTGCCGATTCGGCGTCGATCCGCGAGAGCGGACAAGATGGTATGGGAGGTTTCCCATGAGTTCCACCGAAGAAAGACCCAGCCAGCAAACCCCCCATCCCAGGAGTGGCCGATGCGCTGCGGTGGGAGGCGGGTGGCTTATCACCGAGCGCGTTCCACTGCTCGTAAAGTGCCTGTTCAGAAAACACATGTTTTCCTTTCTGTAATGGATCCTGAATCCCCCGAGGCGGATCCAGGCCATGTGCGAATGGCAACTGTGCGAGTAGTGGCACGCGCTTGTCGAGCTTTCGGCAGGAGAAGGACCCTTCCCCCTCAGCTGTTGCGACCAGGGGGGCCCTGAAGGCCAGAGAAAACCAGCAGGAGCGGGACAAGGAGAAGGGATGGGGGATCTTGGACGGAAGACGTATCGTCGTATCCACGACATTGCGGCCCAGGCCCTTGGTCCGCGACCGTGGACTTGGCATCGCTCGGACGTGTGCATTATTTTCTCGGCGAGGACCTTCGAGCGGCATCCTTGATCATTTGGCGAACAAAACACGCACGAAACCGAAAAAAACACAGGGAGTGGACGTCCGAGCGATGGCCAGTGGATGCATGGCGTTTTTCGCGGATGCCCCGCGCGGAACGCATGGCCCGCCCGCTGGCCGCCGACGGGCGCCAGAGGCCGCCGAAGGGCGGACACCCCGCGCCCCGCCCGCGCGCGCGCGCCGGCGAGGTGCCGCCAGGGCGCCGGTTCCGCGGCCTCATGGGCGGACCCCCCTCGCGCGCGCGGGGGGAGGAATTGCTTTGCCTATTTTGGGGGCCTTTCCTGTCCTGTCAATGGGCAACTTCTCTTGTATTCCGACGTGGGTTCGACGCGGATTCGACGTGGATTCGACACGGGTTCGACACGGGTTCGGCATGAATCGCGGCGCGACGGGATAGACAAGGCCCCCCGAAAAGATGCAACACAAGAGGAACCAGTCAGAGGGAATCGAATAACAAAAATGCCATAAACATAAACTTTTGGCTCTCCGCGCGGATTTTTCGGGTCCGCGCTGGGCCCCCCCGGAGGCGCCTCCGGCGCCGCTCCTGGCGCGCTCGGCGCGCCAGGGAGGGGGTCCAGCACAGATCCAAAAACTACATGCTGAGCGCCACGAGTTTATGTTTATGCAGTTGCTTTCTTCTTCTAGGGGAGTGCGGCCTGGAAGGTCTTCGTGACCCGCGGTGGCTTCCATCGGCTGCGCCCCGCCAGGGGCGTTCCTGGGAAGCCGGGGTGGTCCCGAACGGCCGCCTGAGGCCGAGTTGGGAAAATTGAACGCCAATTTGGCGGGATCGGTGCGCGCATGTCACGGGGGAGGAAGAGGAGGAGGAGGAGGAGGAGGAGGAAGAGGAATAATAACGTAACGTAACGCTGTAGGCAAAAATCACACATCCTACATCCTTTTGCCATTCTCATTTCCCCATTCAAATTACACACAACTCCACGGATTACATTTCGAGTTGTTTCACGCACGTGCGTTACGAGCACCACCCAGCACGCATTCGCAACACCGAAAGCGACATCGTACGCCCAAGCGCACTAGTCGAACGGACAGCACTCCACTTCGACACCGACATCCAGACCGTACGCCCTCACAACCACCACGACTCCGACCACAGCTTCCAACCCAGCGTGGCATAGACGGGAAAGGGCAAAAAGAGCAGCAACGCGCACGTTATTACGTATTGCTTTGGCAAGATGCCTACTGGATCAACCTACAGAAGCTGAACAACTCTTTAACCAACACATTGCACAACGACCACCACGGAACACGACAGACAGCATGTACAACCAAATCGACGCCGCATGCGGAAAAAAGGCACCAACACCACAAGCCAGATGCAAAAACAAAGGGAAACATCAGGACCAACAGCCACACGGCAACGGCCACAATACAACATGGCAGCCACGGGGCCACAAAGGCTACAGGGCAACTAGCACGCTAACGTCACATTACAGCCCGACCCGTACCACACAGCAACACAAAACAGGCAACGGATACAGTCCACACACAACCTACCAGCACCAACACAACCATAGCCAAATAAGACCCACCACGCCAATACCCAGCACACACCAGCGACAAACCCAAGCAAACAGTCGGCCAGGCAACAAACAACCACAACCCAACTTTTGGCTACAACGCTGACCACACAGCATACATTGACAGAGAAGCCAAGGAGATCATCGACAGCATCCCAGACGCATTCTGCGACGATGTCTAAAACATTGATCGACCAGGTATTACACCACTTGAAGCGGGAACATGGATTACACCGACGGCCAACATCAGCAGGAAACTAACACCGCAAATGCTAGCAGCCGAAATGGCCGTACAAAAAATACAAGACCACTTACGGCATGACTTGGCAGGTACGAAAAGACAGTTACTCGACCAGAAGCCGCTGCACGAACAGCTACGCCAACTCAAAGACGACTACACAGCACGCGCCAAGATCTCCGAGGCCGCGCGTAAACAGGCACAACCACGACACGACGACAACACGACTCACCAAGACTTGCGCCAGCATCTGGAAAGGAGACCATCCAGCAACGGCCGCGCACGCTGAGTCCACAACCGAACCACAATACACCACCAAGAGCCCAATACATCCAACCCAGCCAGTATTCACAACACAACGCACAACGACGGCCACTCAAACCTACAATGCCGAGTCCTCGTTCAAAGGGGGGCGTTACTCGACGCGGGGCGCTACTGGGGTCGCTCGGCGACCTACAAGCGAGCGGCTCACTCATACCATAATTAAGGTTAGCTCGGCAGACTAGCGCCGAGGACGAACAGGCACAACGCCGACTTGATTGCGCAGAAGATACTATACAGCAACTACAAGCAGAAAGTGACTACTTCTCAACCGCGTGCCACATCACAAGAGAGTGGCTACGAGCAGCACGACACTTTGAACAGCACGCCGCTCGCACAGAAGAGCTGGCAATCCAACGCGCCACGGACGAACAGCGCGCGCCAGCCCAAACGACGCAGAGAAACCAACATACGGAAGGAGCTACAACGAAGCTGCTTCACTACCACACCGCATTTCAACAAGCGAAACAAGAACGCGCCGGGGCATTTGACGACCAAGCCACCGCCCGCATGCTAGGGGAAGAATATGCGGTGACCATTGCTCAGCTAAGATTTGAACTACAAGCGAAACAAGGGCATCTCACAGCCCTGGCACAACACGAAGCACACCAGCACCAAAAAGAGATCGACCAAACAAAGAGGACGACCGATCAATACATGCAACACACCGTCCAACAATTCCATATCCATCACCAATCACATCAAGCGACACTAGAGCAAAGACAAGCACCATGCATCAGCATGTCGGAGCAACGAGTTCAATTGCTGGAACAAGGCCTGCATCAAGAAGTGGCCAGCAAGGGCAGCGCCTGCGAAGACGCCAAGAACACGCTGACCGGGCAGTTCAGAGAGCACGCGCCCAAGGAAGATTGGGCGAAGAAGTGGTCGCAGAACGGGAAGCAGTCGCGGCAGCGCAAAGACTACAGCGCGAAGAGTCCACGACACTAGCGAACTACCACGAAGAGACGGCAGCCACGATCATGCTAGGCAGCGCGGAAGCAAATTTACAGACCGTCAACCGACGCTACCGGCGACCATTGAACGCGGCCAAGCAGCGCCAACAGGACACGACGAGCCCACTCAGACAACAACATATAAAGCCCGAGAGATGCGAGGAACCACGAGCGCAGTCTGAGCCTTTGTTGGCCCCGGAAACGACAGTGCCGTTTTTTATGCCGTTTCCAAGAAAATGTCTTTTGAAAATGGAAACGACAGAACAACGGCTACCCGAAACGTCAAAAAAACGGCTCCAGGCCTGGAACCAGAGCCGGGGCCGGTCAAAAAACGGCGACGGAACCGGCAGACAACAACGGCGTCGGAACCGGCAGCGAAAACGGCAAAACAGAATCGGTAAAAAAAAAAAAACGGCCCTGTCGTTTCCAGGGCCCACTAGGGTCTGAGCGATGCCACAAACAAACAAAGCAGATTTACAAGCGCTGCTGCGACGACAACCGCAGCCACAACACTAACCGCAAGCACTACCCGACGATCCAGATCTGACGAAAGAAGCAACCAACTCGTCGAGCTAGAGCACAGCATCATCGACCAAGAACAACAGCACGCGCGACAACTCAGTCTCGACGACCACATGGAAGAGATACAATGGATGCGCGACCAACTGAGCAGCGCCATCGGCGACGCAACTCCAGAGGGCGTAATCGGAGACGACCAGCGCACAGGCCGACGCCGCGAAAGCACAGGGGAGCCGACAGAAAACACGCGCAACAATATTGCCATCGACCCCGCACAGCAGACGCGATATGCACCGACGGAGCCCGCCCCGATCACGCCGACAGAACTTGCTGCGCCCAGAGCACCGAGGACGACGCGCGCACCGACGATGCCGACTACGTCTGCGAGCGAGCACGACTCGCTACCCCGCGCGCCAGAACCCAGCGTTGCAACCACACGTGACATGACCGCTGGAGACGCCCTTTGGTTCTTCAGCATTCCCGGGCAGCAAGTGGTCGCAGTGCAATGCGACCTGCAACGAAAGGTCTCCATCCACGCCGCTGCAGAAGACAGACCCAAGGCATCGCATCCGCCCCCGAGAAGCCCACCTCAGCAGCCCGCGAGCGTCACTGCAACCGACATCCACGCAATATTTACCAGGGGCGACCGCCCCCCCCCCTCCCCCACCCCCCCCCCCCCTCCCCCCGAAAAAATACCATGGCGACGTACCCAGCCCCTGCGCAAAAGCGGGGCGCAAATAGTTTAGGATACTTTATAAGGGGGCGATGACGGAGCGAGGGTTACATACGTCTGCAGACGGAATCCGGGAGACTCGCAGGACACTGGCTACAGGAAAAGGGCTTGATAAAGCTGATGATTTACAATTCCTGAGCACTCCTAGCCACTTCGAAAACGGGGATCACAGCAGGCCTCGAAAGTGGCGGCAGGTTCACAGATCGCAGCCCCGCAGGGATGGCGAGGTCCATTTGAATCTGCCCGTGGCCCTCACTGTGCTGGGCCCCCCAGCAGGCCTCGAAAATGGCGGCAGTTTCGCAGATCGCAGCCCCCCAGGGATGGCGAGGTCTAATTTGAATCCGCGCGTGGCCCTCACTGTGCTGGGCCCCCCAGCAGGCCTCGAAAATGGCGACAGTTTCGCAGATCGCAGCCCCCCAGGGATGGCGAGGTCTAATTTGAATCCGCGCGTGGCCCTCACTGTGCTGGGGCCCTCCGACAGCAGATCGCAGCCCCCCAGGGATGGCGAGGTCTAATTTGAATCCGCGCGTGGCCCTCACTGTGCTGGGCCCCCCAGCAGGCCTCGAAAATGGCGACAGTTTCGCAGATCGCAGCCCCCCAGGGATGGCGAGGTCTAATTTGAATCCGCGCGTGGCCCTCACTGTGCTGGGCCCCCCAGCAGGCCTCGAAAATGGCGACAGTTTCGCAGATCGCAGCCCCCCAGGGATGGCGAGGTCTAATTTGAATCCGCGCGTGGCCCTCACTGTGCTGGGCCCCCCAGCAGGCCTCGAAAATTGCGACAGTTTCACGGATCGCACCCCCCCAGGGATGGCGAGGTCTAATTTGGATCCGCCCGTGGCCCTCACTGTGCTGGGCCCCCCAGCAGGCCTCGAAAATTGCGACAGTTTCACAGATCGCAGCCCCCCGCGGGCAAGACAGGA